TCCATGAGTAATATGACAGTTATCTGTAATGAGGACGACGATTTGCTTATTGTTTGTACTAAAATCGAATCTTAATCGGATCTATTGATTATGTTTTTTTTTGGTGGGGTGATGTTGGAGGCGTGTGACGGAAAATCGATGGATTTTGTGATGTTTTTTGTTTGTAGATTCTTTGCGAAACATTAAAAGAGTATAAGAGCACTAGAGGAAGTGGGAATCAGGATGAACATTAGCAGGAAACGGTTTCTAAAGCTACTCCGAGTACTTTAAGCCAGTGATTGCCAATTTATGATCAGCGATAGTTTAGGAAACCCAAAGAAATGTATGTCGTGTTCGGGTTGGGTCTTGGATTCATTAAGGTATGCCGTAGCACAAAATGGTTGGTCTATATTGCCTTGACCACTGCCTTAAACTATTCACCAGTCAAATTATGTTAATCCACAGAATTTTGTTCATCAATTTTTCTAAAATCCAGTGGTGTCCAACCTTTTTCCTACTTCGGCACACCTTATTGGTAAGCAATAACCAAAACCGCTCATGGCATTAGAATTATTGGATATTCTGAATATATTTATATTACATGGGTTGGCCATAACTGCTTCAAGCTACTCATTAGTCTTCAATTTCAACGAAGCGTTTCAAAAAACCTCAAAAAGCAGGATAAGGTCTCATACAGGAGCCAAAAAAGTGTTACTTTGCATGCTTTTCAAAATTGAGGTGACAAAAAATCCTTGAAAATTTAATAATGTTGCTAGTTATAGGGCCAGTTTAGTCCCCTTTCCATAAACTACGCTACAAGGGTGTGGAACTGAAAAACTACATTTTGATCATTTTTGATCATTTTTGATTATTTCATCAGGACCACACCCTTGCTACGCTACTTTTTTCAATTTATCGTCACTTTCCAGTCCTAAAGCTCATTATCTTCATTCTAAAAAGCCTAGCATCCTAGCTATTTATCTCTAAGCATAATGACATTTCTTTTTTAAATTATTAGCCTTCTTTTCTTAAACTTCTCTAAAGCACGTACCAATGATGATGATTGATTTCTTACAATCTACTTGAAAATGAAAATGAAAATAAAAAATAAAGTTAAAAAAGGAGAATGAAAAGCTTGTTCTTTTCTTTTTGCTCGAAACGATTGTAAAATGAAAAAGGATATACAGTAAATTATTGAGTGAACGTTTTTCTTATGCTGTGAGAATTGGAAATATAGCTTTGAGAATTTTATTTTTGTAAAATTGAAGAAATGAGTTTGGGGGTGGCTTGGTGGATTGATTTAAAATTTATGAGACTTTCTAATGTCGTGTAATCGAAATTGTTAATGGATTTACTCGATGTATGTATTCTAATGTCAATTGTTTATGAAATATTAGGTAAAAAGGTACAAAATAAGGATAAAGGATGGGAATTGTCATGCAAAATGCAGTTGTATGTGAACTATGAATTTGAATTCGTTTCTGTCTTTCTTGTAGAGCTTGAGTTTTAGCAAATTGATGCACTTTTCGACGAGGGGTTGGATTATTCCCCTAATGTCCTTGTTCTGGCTTCGGACCTATATTTTGAAATATTTTTAAACGTTATCGTAAATGAGGTTTTGATAAAGTAAGATTAAATTTTCTCAATTTCAATTAATGATCAATAATTGGGGCTGATATAGGGCTGCCTTGAAGCAAGCAACTTGCCATGATATTTGCTTTAATCCTAAGTTAACTTTTGATCATCTGGGAAAACATATCTAAGCCTTGAATAGCTTAAACTATCTTAAGTCTACCTTAAGTTGGGTGACCATCTGCGTAGTTTTACAATGGACAGTCTTGTATTTCAAAACCCTGTCCTGTATAAATTTGAAAATTTTGTATTTTTTTCACGAAAATTTCCGGTGATTTTCAAATTTTCCTTTGTGTCCTGTATGTTTATGGGAAATTTATCAAATGTCCTGTATTTTCAAAAAAATTAGAAGGTCACCCTAACCTTAAGCTTCCCTGGAAAATTTCAAACAAACCTTATTTTTCAGAAGGAGCTAGTGGCAGCGCAAAACAGTGTTTCTCAAACTTTTTTGGTCCACGACATTCTTATTTTCTTAAAACTTGTCGCTGCAATCTTGAAATTTTATCACGGGGCACACAAGTGTACCGCGTCAGATAGTTTGAGAACCACTGTGCAACAAAGTCAATCTTTTTCTTGAAAAATTATGTTTCAATTTACTGTAATACAAAAATAAGCCAAAAACATGATCCAATTCAAATTAATTCAAATTAATTCTCATCTTGAACCTCCCAAAAAAACTAAAAGTTTGTCATATACAATCTACAAATTTATTAAACTATCATTTCATGCTATCCACACAGAGATAAAGGCATGAAAGCATAAGGAGAAACTTTAAATCCTCGTACAATTATAAACGAACTTTAATCCATGACATAACTTCCACTCAATAACAATAATAAGTCAACAGCACTGGAGCACTTCACACATCATTGTGCAAAAAGATGCAAAAAATATGAAAAAAAATTTGCTATCATTGCAGATGAACGAAGACTTTACTTTACAGTTTGAGAGGCTTAAGAGGAAAGAATGGGGAGAATAAAAGTTTGTCATATTTGATGTTGATGTAGAGTTGGAGCTTGAAATTTATGGGTTGGGATGCTAGGGTTCGGTTCTTTGGGTGGGTCGAGAACAAGTCGAGAACTGAACCTAATTTTGCTAGAAAACTGAACCTAATTTTGACTAGAAAGGATTCAAAAATGGTAAAAATAATAATAACTTAGTCAGAATTATGGCTTTAAAATGAGCAAATCAGCCAAAATTCAACTAAGTTTTACAAAATAACCAAAATTTCAATGCCTTAAGCGATATTTTTAACCAAATCAATTGTAACTCCTCCACAAACTCAACTGACTTCAGTTACAATTCACCAAACTTTATGCCTATAAAATATCTGAAAACAGCCCCAACAAATAATTCCAAAATCATCATCACAATGAACAACTAGAAGAAGAAAATTAAAAAAGTTTCTAAAAAGATGTGAAAATTTTCTTTATCGCCTGAGAAAAAAAAACAAGAATTCCATTTTTTTTTCTTATTCTTCCTCCCTCAAGGACAACGGCAACGTCGAGCGAATACGAAATAGCAAAAAGTCAGATTTTCTTATTCCACCACTTTTTCTTCCTTATCATCTAGAGATAAAAATAAATAAAGAAATTGTGCATCACATCCACAGTATATCCCGATCCAATTATGAAGTGTCCACTTGGCATCTTCACTTTTCATCCATCCACTTCCATTATTATTATCATTATTATTACCATTATCATTACTGCTGTGTCAACCACAATGGAAATGAAAAATACAAAATGAATTGAAAATAATAAAGAAAAAAAAAATCATGTCATGAGAAAAAGAGGAAGACAGTCAACGTATAAACATAGAGTAGTGAATATAGAATAAGAGTAAAGAAGCACAAGTCACATAGATAATCATAAAAAATATATGAAATAAATTAGGTGGGTGAATTAAATTCTGGATGTTTTTTCAGGTTGTATTTTCTGATACTCGTTAGAATTTGGACTTCAAAATGTGATCTGGATTAGTACCGTACTTTATACTGTAATTTGGACAAGTTTCAATCTCGAAGATGATGTTCTGAACTGGTTTTGGCATTTATACAATAGCTTAAACTATTTTGATCCTTCAAATAGTGCCTTTAAGTAGCATCAATCATTGATAAGCATCCTGAACTAGTCTCAATCATCTAATCGGTGTTTTGAGCTAGTTTTAAACTTTAATCAGTGTTCTGATCAAGTCTCAACCTTTAAGTCAGTAACTTAAACTAATCTTAACCTTCATTTAGTGCTTTGAACTAGTCTCAACCTAAAATTGTTGTCTTCAACTAGTTTTAGTCCTCAATCAGTGTCTAAAACTAGTCTCAATATCCAAAACAGTATTTTGGATTAGTATCAAACATCAAATCAGTGATCTGAGCTAGCCACAACCTTTAAGCAGTGTTCTTAACTAGTCTCAACCTTTTGTCTTTGTCCTAGACTATATTGAAAGCCCAATCTGTGTTCTGAACTAGTTTTAATACTTCAACCTGTGTTCAGAGCTAGTTTGAAACCTCAATTCGTGTCTTGAGCTAGTTTGAAACCTCAATTCGTGTCTTGAGCTAGTTTGAAACCTTAATCAGTGTTCTGAGCTAGTTGGAATCTTCAATCAGTGTCCTGAGCTAGTTTGAAACCTTAATCAGTGTTCTGAGCTAGTTGGAATCTTTAATCAGTGTCCAGAGCTAGTTTGAAACCTCAATCAGTGTTCTGAACTAGTTGGAATCTTCAATCAGTGTCTTGATCTAGTTTTAAACCTTAATCAGTGTTCAGAGCTAGTTGGAATCTTCAATCAGTGTCCTGAGCTAGTTTGAAACCTCAATCAGTGTTCTGAGCTAGTTGGAATCTTCAATCAGTGTCTTGATCTAGTTTTAAACCTTAATCAGTGTTCAGAGCTAGTTGGAATCTTCAATCAGTGTCCTGAGCTAGTTTGAAACCTCAATCAGTGTTCTGAGCTAGTTGGAATCTTCAATCAGTGTCTTGATCTAGTTTGAAACCTCAATCAGTGTTCTGAGCTAGTTGGAATCTTTAATCAGTGTCCAGAGCTAGTTTGAAACCTCAATCAGTGTTCTGAACTAGTTGGAATCTTCAATCAGTGTCCTGAGCTAGTTTGAAACCTCAATCAGTGTTCTGAGCTAGTTTGAAACCTCAATCAGTGTTCTGAACTAGTCCAAACCTTCAATGAGTGCCTTTAGCAAGTCTCAACTGCCAATCAGTGTCTTAAAATAGTTCAAGTCTCTAAGAATTGTCAAGGATACGCATCAAATCCAAAGACACAATCAAAAGTCATTGAAACTTGCAAGCAACCCTTCTTCAACCTCCATTATCCTCGCTTGTCTCTTAAAACACCCTTAAGTGCTTGTCTCATCTCATTACTAATAAATTAAAGCTCATAAAATACAATAAAAATCTTCAGAAATGAGTGCATCCACCTAACATACATATATAAAAAAAGATAGTAGAGTAGAGTTACGTGCTGCTCGCGAGTAGCGTGAGCCAAACCATCCCAAAGTACTGTAAAAAAAAAATAAAAAAAAAATTGTTGTTCTTGTTGTTATTGTTGTGAATAAAGTAGAAAGAAAAATATTACTAGTGACTGACTGACTGACTCGTGAGAGTCGTGAGAGAATTCGTTATTTTTTTTTTGCTCACCAAAAAATTTGTGCACATGTGTTTGTGTATGTAAAAGAAAAGTTGTCCAATTTGTTGTTGTTGTGACACACACAAGAAAGAAAGAAAGAAAGGAAACGAGAAATTACAGGACGGGAAATACAACGCGACAACACGACAGTCACGAGGGACTCAATTAATATGGATAAAGACTTCACTAAAAATGGTAAACGAAATAGAACAAAAAAAAAAGTTTATTTATTTTTTTTTTGTAGATCGGAAAAGTTTTTTTTTTATCTTTTTGACTTGCTTTTTTCCGTGGATTTTTATTTCATGTTTTCTGGATGGTTTTTGATTAGCAAAAAAAGGTAGAAAAATTCTTTTGTTTTGATGTTGAATTTTATGGGATAAGAATATTAAAAAAGTTTTTCTTTTGTGTTCAGTTTTGATCATGTTAAATAGAACATTTTATTTGTCTACTGAATGAGGGTGTAGCAGGAAGAGAGTGTGGTCAAAAGAGGATGAGGTTCGATAAGGGGTGGCTAGTATAGGGCTGTAAGTTATGGCTACTAAGGATATCCTCAATAAGTATCGGCTTTTGATGTACTTAAATAGTTTAAAAGAATCATTTTTGATTATTATTAGAATAAATTTCAACTTTAAAAGGGCAAGGGTTGGGCACTTTAGAACCTCCTCCCCATCACTAAGCTCCTGACTTAGGTTTATATACATATAAATAGACTTTAACTAGCGTTGAGATTGCAGAACTGATAAATTTGAATTTAATAATTTCTGATCATTTCATCAGTTCCACACCCTTAACCAGGGTAGCGTACCACGAACAGAAGAAACTAGCTTCAGAGTTGAGACAAGAAATCATTTGGGAATGGCGAGGTCTTTCAAATCCTCAAAAATGGGTTCTTGATTTTTACTTGATTAGCATGCTGAACTAGTCTCAATCTTCTAATCGATGATTTGAGCTAGTTTTGAACTTTAGTCAGTATTCTGAACTAGCATCAACCCTTAAATCAGTAACATGATTAGGATTAGGGACAGAAGGTCTGTACAACATGAGATTCACACTTACTAGTTGAAGTTCACAATAGAAAATTTCAAATAAAATTGATAAGACTTCACATTAGGGCCATACTTTTAAAAACCCTTAGCTTTATTTTAGTTTTTTTTTAAATAATTAAAATATTTTAATTTTGAAAGAATTTGTTTATTAAATTGTTGCTAATTTGTTATTGAATTATTCAACATTTACAAAAACATTTTTAACAAAAATCATCAACCATGAAACCACATTACACAGCATCCCTCAAACCACAAATTTGCTATTGAACTTGAAATCATTAAACATAAAACGTCAGCAAAATGTTGTAAATCGTCACAATCCATCATAATCAATCACTGAAATCTCATCTGAATGTTAACCAGTCGCAGTGAAATTTTGTTATGAATGTGAAGCTTTTATTGACGAAACTCGATTAATGTTTTGAAAAATTTGTGAAGTTTAATTGAGATTTATTAGAATTATTATAAGTTGTTGTGATTGATTGGAGTTTAGAATTTGTGACCTTGAAAATGAGATGAATTTTGGGAATTGTTACTGAACAAGACACTAAAGTTTAATGTCACTTCTTGATGTCAATCATTCGCAAGGCGTAGAAACTCAGGATTAATCCTAAAAAATTCCTGAGCCAATAAACATGAAAATGTGAAATCCCTTTTAAATCTCTGATACATTTGATGAGTAACTTCGGGATTTAAAAAGGATTTCACATTTCCATGTTTATTGGCTCAGGAATTTTTAGGATTTTTGGGATTTTTCAGGATTAATCCTGAGTTTCCACGCCTTGGTCATTTGACATGGGTGCAAAATTGATCAAAAATTATCAAAAAATGATCAAAACTGATCAAAATTTAATTTATCAGCATAGTTGTATATTCAGGTGGAGGTGTAGTTGTAGGTATATACCGAAGGATTTCCCGCCGCTGGTTATGCTCTTGGCATAGGTTTTGTAACGTTTTGTCATTAATATGTTACCAACATGTCCCCTGCAGGGCCCTGGCTGCTCCGTTGAGTCCCTTTAATAGTTTTGTACCACAATAATGCTCCTTGGGACAGAATATCTCAAGATAATTGAAACTAGTCAATCTTTTTGCATCTTATACTGATGCATATGGGACTCTGACTGCTTACAAGAACTTAAGATCTCAATTAATTCATTTTCAACCTTACAACATCCATATCATTGATATCAACACAGTTATTTCCCAAACAAAATTGAATTTCCATGTCAAAAGAACCTCAACTTGATACCACAATTCCTAAAGACTTATTTCAATTTTCACATCCATACAAACACACAACCATATGCCTCACAGCAACCAAAACGACCCTAAAATCCAACAATTATTTACTTCTAAATCGACTTCATTTTCATCAAAACACAGTCAAACAAACAATGCAAGATAATGAAAAAAAAAATTCATTTCCAAAATAAAGGATCCGCAAAGCTTTGAGACCCAAAAAAGAAGCTTCTAAATGATGGAAAATAATAATAAAAATAACATTTTCCCCAAAACAATATGAAACACGAAACAATTTCTGTGCCTTTAAAGCCTTCATTCAATTCTATTTCGTTTCCATTTTGTTGTCATTAAGTTCCACTCGTGATCCCTTCAGGGTAATTAAAGAAGCTCAGAAGCTCTTTTGTGTACATTTTGTAGATGTGGATGTGAAAAAAAGGAAATGAAAAATTTTGTGTGCTTTGCGATGTTATGAGTTGTTGTGAGGAATTCAAAGGAATTTGTTAAGTGGATTTTTTTTTGATGTTTAAGGATTGAATTTCAATTATTTTTGAAGACTTTTTTTAAAATTGATACAATTGAGTGAGCAACAGGAATTTTTCGAGAGGATTTGGCTCTCGAAAATCGGTAAATAAGAGTGAAAAACAATTGAGATGTTTAGTACAAATTATGTAATCTGATGATTTTCAAAAGTTTTAACAATTGAAGCTTCAGTTTTAGGATTTTTTAGGTTCGAGACATATTAAAGTGAATTGCACGGGTGGGGTTCTGACCTGTCAAGGGTCCTAGACATTTTTTTTACATATTCTAATCCAGATGAGGGGTCTGAAGCTCCTCTATTACGTCTAATCCTCTAACTAGTATTGGGTTAATGGGCTGATCGCTCACTCCGTCTAAATTTCATGCTATTGTGCCTCCCTGAATGACACAAGTCGGTTAATCGAATAGAAATCCGTCACCAAGCCGGTAGACTCTCGTAGATTTAAATCGAAGCTAGCACCATGCCAGATTTAAATCGAAGGTAGCACCATGCAAGACTCATACCGGCCTAGTGCTGGATTTCTGATCGATTAACCAACTTGTGCCATTTGGGCTTATTTAATGAACATTTCTTTCAATTTCTTCATTTAACTTAACAAAAAACCTTCAAAAACTCATCACAAAACATTTCTAATCTTCCGAAGCTACAGCCACATTTCTCATCAATTCATCAAAATTCCATTAAAAACTACCTTTCCTTAAAAAACCAACAAAGCCCATTCAAAGACACAAAAGTATCCAATATCAAAAAATTTATCAATTTTTAACCCCCATCTGTACTTTATTCTCACAATAATCCTTCATTTTTTTCATTACTCAACAAAAGGTTTGTGGGTCAAAAATGAGAAAATAATTTTTCAGAAAAGCTCAAGCTCAAAAAAAAGATAAGGAGAATAAAAAGGCATTATGTTGTTGTACATGCTGAATGTGAAGCTAATGTAAAGTTCTTATCATTTACTTCGCATTAAAAATTTATAAAAGAAAAATGCTTTGCCATCAAAAAAGGGGGGTGCTTGGATGATGTTGTTGATTATGATGACGACACGTGTAATTTACTTGCTTTTTTATTGTCGAAGGAAATGAACAGTAAACGGGTCTTTAAGGAATTGAATGAATGAGGATTGTATCAGGATTTATGAGATGAGATTAAGTGGATGGGATTGAAAATTGGAAGGTATGAAAGAATGAAGCTGAGGATGTGAAGTAATAAGCACAAACAAACTTGACACGGAGGTGTACAAATTGGGTTTAAGCCACACCAAGCAAAGCATGGAATAGCGCTTTAGAATCAAATGAAAAACAACGATTTAAAATCAAATAAATCTTTAGAATCAAGTTTGAAGGAAAGTTTTTGAATCAAGTTTGAAGCAACGCTTTATAATCAAGTTTTAAACAACGCTTTTTAATCAAGTTTGAATCAACGCTTTAGAATCAAGTTTAAAGTGAAGATTTAAAATTAAGTTTGAAGCAACGCTTTATAATAAAGTTTGAAGCAACGCTTTAGAATCAAGTTTGCAGCAACGCCTTTGAATCAAGTTTGAAGCAACGCTTTTGAATCAAGTTTTAAACAGTGTTGCAAATGTAGATGTCTACACTAGATGAAGAATGTAGATTCTTCAATAGTTTTTGTCTAGCTAAGAAACTTTCTTCATAAAGATCGATTCTTCATGTAGAAAGAAAAAAACCATCTACATGTAGATTGTGTCTACATGTAGAATCTGTCTACATGTAGATTCGATGTAGATGTCTATAATTCTACATTTTTTTCCAGGTCTACATCAGAGAAGAATGTAGAATCGTAGACATCTACATTAAATCTACATGTAGACAGATTCTACATGTAGACACAATCTACATGTAGATGGTATTTTTCTTTCTACATGTAGAATCGATTTTATGAAGAAATTTCTGTCTCAGAATTTATCTGATCCAGACAAATAGCCAGAATGCAACACTGGTTTTAAACAACGCTTTTTAATCAAGTTTGAATCAACGCTTTAGAATTAAGTTTGAAGCGATGATTTAAAATCAAGTTTGAAACAACGCTTTAGAATCAATTTTGAAACAACGCTTTAGAACAAAGTTTGAAGCAACGCTTTAGAACCAAGTTTGAAGCAACGCTTTAGAATCAAGTTTGAAGCAACGCTTTAGAATCAAGTTTGAAGCAACGTTTTAGAATCAAGTTTATAGCAATGCTTTATAATTAAGTTTGAAGCAACGCTTTAGAATCAAGTTTGCAGCAACGCTTTTGAATCCAGTTTGAAGCAACGCTTTTGAATCAAGTTTGAAGCAACGCTTTAGAATCAATTTGATTGAAGTCTTAAAGCTACATATCTGTCTTTAAATCCACCAGCAATAAAGCTGCACATAATCAATAAAAGGCCTCTAAAATGAATACAAGAAAACTGCTGACATTCAATAAAATAGAAAAGAAAAAAAGATCTAGAACATTTTAGTAATTGACGATTATTTCTCAGTAACACAGATTCTCTCTAAACTTCATGGAAAATTGCCAAGGCAGATACTTTTAATATCCCTTTTGCCAAAGTCTCAGATCCTTCTAGATTTTCATAGATTTTTTCTATCAATTTGAAACTTTTTCCTAAGCTTCCATTATTTCCTATCATTTACCAATAATCTTATCAATCGAAGCGTTCATCCTAGCTTGAATGTTCAAGACAAAGACCAGCCGAAAAAGATTAAGATAATAAAAAAGCTGCTTATTCCAAACAACAATCCTCGTTCCATAGACATGCACATTCAAAAAAATAAAGAGAGAAATCCAATTAAGTTAAATGAAATTTTTTCATCTCAAACATTTATTGTGAAATTTTCGGCGATGCTTCATAGATCATAAAAGCAAAAATAAAATGTGATGTCGTTAAAAAATATTTCGTTATTAGGAGACATTAAGCTCGCACATACAAGGCTGCACATACGTTTACAGCCCATTTGAGAGTAAAGGATGATAAATAAGATATGAAGAAAATTTTGAAATGAATTTTTAAAAAGAAAAATTTTCAAAGCCTTTTTTTAAAGAATTTATTAAGCTAATGTCTTCAGGCATTAGGCTAAAGAGCTTCGATGTTAAGATAAAAAATGGCTTTTGGATGGAATGACTTTAATGATGTTTGAGGATAATTGAAGGCATAAAATTATTTTAAGTACCGGATGAGGTGTTAAATTGGCGTTACTTTATGATTGTCGCTTGATAAGCACTTGAATGTAAAGCGTTGCATTTAAACTTGACTGGCTTTAAAGCGTTGCCTTTAAAACTTGATTGACTCTTAAGCGTAACTTTAAAACTTGACTGACTTTTAAGCGTTGCTTTTATACTTGACTGACTTTAAAGCGTTGCCTTTAAAACTTGACTGACTTTAAAGCGTTGCGTTTAAAACTTAATTGACTCTTAAGCGTGGATTTAAACTTGACTGACTTTAAAGCGTTGCCTTTAAAACTTGACTGACTTTAAAGCGTTGCGTTTAAAACTTAATTGACTTTTAAGCGTGGATTTAAACTTGACTGACTTTAAAGCATTGCATTTAAACTTGAGTGATTCTAAAGCGTTCCTTCAAACTTGAGTGACTTGAAAGCGTTGCCTTTAAAACTTGACTGACTCTTAAGCGTTGATTTAAACTTGACTGATTTTAGAGCGTTGCTTTTAAACTTGACTGGCTCTTAAGCGTTGTATTTACACTTGACTGACTTTAAAGCGTTGCCTTTAAAACTTGACTGACTTTAAAGCATTGCATTTAAACTTGAGTGATTCTAAAGCGTTCCTTCAAACTTGACTGACTTGAAAGCGTTGTATTTAAACTTGACTGACTTTAAAGCGTTGCCTTTAAAACTTGACTGACTCTTAAGCGTTGCCTTAATTCAGCTGAATTTGAAGCAACACTTTAACTTTCACTTACATTTTAGCGTCACTTTGCATTTGTCTTTAAAGCTATTATGCAAATTAACCTTAAAAATATTAAACCTACTAAATTATTAAATTCTCAATTTAAATGCTCCAAGCACAAGCTCTGTTTTCTAAAGTCTTCTTAAACGACACCAAATGTTAATTTTTCCATGACTTCTTTTTTTTCAGATTTTATTTTAAACATTTTATTGTATTGTTAAAAGCTTCTTGCTGCATCATTCTCATGTTCTGCTTCGAAAGTTGCAAGAAAAAGAAGGAAATAAAGTATTAAAAATTTATGTTCATTATGTTGTGCATTAATTTAAGATTGAGCTGTGCTGTTGCATTAATTGTGATTTTTGAGGATTTAATTTTTATTATCAAGCACAGCTTCATAGGCTGTATTGCTACTGTAAAAAAATCAAAGATTATGCCAAAATGCCAATGAGAGTATCAAGTCCTACGCAGAGAAATCAAACTCTTATCACATCCCAACATGTGCTCACTCCTCAATAATAAATATTTTATTCATTTTCTTATCAGCACAAAAAAAGCATTAAAAAATATTTCCGATGCTTCAAATAAACTCAATTTGTCATTAATTTTACAACTTTTCAACTTCCGCATTGCAAATCGTTGCGACATCAGTGATTTTTGATGCCCAATAACAGCTGGACATGTCATTTCCATCAGAAAGTCATTGGCCAAATTGAGTTAATATGAAAGGAAAAAAGTTCTGAATTGGGGACTATTTGAAAATGATGTTACAATGACTTTTTGATGTTTTGACACCAATGTTGAAACTAAGCTGTGTCCTGGTTACAATATTGTGCCTCTTATGCTTTTGATCAGATCTAAGACATTCCATGAATCCCCAATTCTCATGTAGACATCATTTCTGCACAAACCCCCAAAAATTATGACCATGCAATTTACATTCAACAAAAAATGGACACCATCATAATATTACAAGCATTGACAGCAACTTAATGACAAATTTGCACTGAAATGGAAGGAAAAAGTTTCGACAATTCCGAAAATTGATGTCCGAGCTTTTTTTCATGTCATACTTTTTTTGAAGTACAACAGCACTTTTTTATGTTTAAAAATTCTTCATAAAAAAAATGATGCTTAGAAATTTTGTGCTATTAAAAATACATAAAGTCATCTGTTCCGCTCCTTTCTGCAGTTTGAGGGACCAAAAATTGTCTTCTTTTTAGGTTGTAAGCCTATTACAGGATTCTTATGCTCTTGTTGTTTTGCTGCTGTTAGTTCTGTTGATGCTATTAGTGTCATTTAAGAGAATTAAAGAGAAAACTTTGTCAGATTTTTTTACGTGAAAGGGAAAAAACTTTTTTTTTTGGGAATTTAAAAAAGTTTTGGAAAGCTTTAATAGGACTTAACGGACGGTAGTAGAGGTTTCTTGGGCATTTCAGAGCTACAGCGGTGTATGTTTGAAGTTTTGGATGCAGTCAGAATCGTTTCAATCAGAAGATTTTCAAATTCATGTTCTGTGACCGTTTAAATACAGACGGGAAATATTTAATGACTATCAGGATGTAATTACTATGCTGTTTTGAAATAGTCGACAATATCAAGGACCCACATAACTTGGAGACAATCTAACCCTAGTTTAGCATATGACCAGAGTAAAGTCCTAATTGATATCGTAGAAGCACCAAGCTTGATCTGTGCTGGCTGTACGTTGCTCCTATAGCTCATTTATTGTCATTTGTCATTTAGAGAGTTAAAATCATTATATTCACACCGTTTTCACGTGTGAATCTATTGGTTTTGTTCAGATTGAAAAATCAGTTTTTCGCATTTTGTGAGAAAACAAAGCAAAATTGGTTATAAAAGGGCAAGAAGAAAAGTTTGTGCCTAAAATTTTACATCATTTTCAAAAAACAGATTTCAAATTGGTTGTGGCATTGCTGAGAAAATCGCAAAATACGCTTTCTGTAAGCAAGCAAGCAAGCAAGTTAATCAGCAAGAAATCTCAATAACGAGACATTGTAGAGACTTCTAGTTTTTTACATTTGATCCGTGCTGCTCTATAGAAGAGCTGTATTGTTTTTGGGCAAGGTAGGAACAGCCGTTGCTTCAGAAATGGCAAAAAACTTTCCTTTCTTACGAATTTTTTAAAACAAAAGTTGACTGTGATTTTTATAAAATTCAACTTTGGATGAAAATTTTTTTTAAAAAACTTTTAAAGAATATTTGGCATATTCGTCAAGCTTTATACCTTCAAACTTATGCTGAGCGTAGCTCAGCTGACTCGATAGCTTTATATCTTCAAACTTATGCTGAGCGTAGCTCAGCTTACGCGATAGCTTTATAACTTCAAACTTATGCTGAGCGAAGCTCAGCGGCCTCTCTAGCTTCATATCTTCAAACATATGCTGAGCGTAGCTCAGCTTACGCGATAGCTTTATAACTTCAAACTTATGCTGAGCGAAGCTTAGTTGATTTATCAAGCTTCATACCTTCATACTTATGATGGGCAAATCTTGGTCTATCCATAAGACTTATGATAGTACGGTGTGAATATAATCCGCATTGGGTTTCTACCCGATACACTAGTTTAGACCAGTGATGGCCAACCCATGAGCCTCGACACTCTAGTGAACAAATTCGAAAAATCTCACGAACTGTATGTGTTGTACTATTTTGGTGAAGGTTTATCATTAACGTATGTCGAGGCACAAAAAAGGTTGCCCACCACTGACCTGGACCCACACTTCTTTGAACTGGCTATGCCATGGATCCCATTTCTAGAGCTACTTGCGGCATTAGGGTTTTAAATCAATGTGCTATACAGCAGTACATTGATTTTGACTAGAGTAGACTAATTTCTAGTCTGGATGTAATATGGACATGATTCAGGTTTTAACACTCCCTGAAAAATTGCTCCCTCATACTTCACAGACACACTTACACAGGTCCATAATCATTTATTTTGTCAACTTTTATTCAACACAGTAGTTCCGTTAATATTTTTAATTCCTTTTTAAGCCATAAAAATTATCGATTTTTTCACACATCATGAAACATTCCAAAATAACTTTAAATGTCGTGCAGAACTAATCAATTCAATTTATATCTTCTTCTTTCTTTGTATTTCATCAACGTTTCCAACCCTCAAAAAAACACAAAATACAAAAAAAATTAAATTGGAACTAAAAATGTCACCCACCAGGGGACCATCAACAATTTTATGACCAGCAGCCATCGTTGGCGCCAAATGATAATATTATTATAACAACAGCCGAAACTCAATCGATATTACAAGATAATCCACAGACACTTTTAAAGCCCATCGAGGAGACAAGTCCACTAGCGGGTGCAGTAAGGACATCGTCACTTCCACTTACACGTCATCATCATCATAAACGGTCAATCTTCTTCCGACGTCGTCGTCCTTCGTTAACGGATGTATGGCAAAAGACATTATCAGCGACAATGACAACGGCAGTGGCAACAAATGCAAGTGGTGGTGTCATTTATCCAGCACAACAGACTCAACCGCAACCGCAATTTAGTACAGATGATGCACAGACGACAGTTAATGCAAATGGTGCGCCGGGATCAACAACTGGTGGACCAAATGCAGCGGGTGCAGCACAAGCAGCACCACCAAAACGACCCGTTAGACGAGGCGGAAAGCCATTACCTGATCGACCCGTACGAGCGCTCTTCTGTTTATCACTTAAAAATCCGATACGGAAGTTGTGCATTGACATTGTTGAATGGAAACCATTCGATTATCTCATCTTGTTAACAATTTTTGCCAATTGTATTGCCTTAGCTGTCTTCACACCTTATCCAAATAATGATTCCAATTTGACTAATAGCTACTTGGAGAGGATTGAGAGCATTTTTCTTGTCATTTTTACTGCCGAGTGTGTCATGAAAATTATCGCGTATGGATTAGTCATGCATCAGGGGGCATATTTGAGAAACGGATGGAATTTGCTCGATTTTAGTATTGTTGTGATAGGGTGAGTATCTGAATTGGGTTATGAGTAGGTAGACATACATTTTGATGCCAAATTAAGCATTTTGAGGTTAGTTTTGCATTTTGGACCAATATTACATTGTATTTTGAGGTTAGCTTTTTTGGCGCCAAATTTTATATTTTGAGGTTAGATATGATATTTGGCGCTTAATTTATGATTTTGAGTATAGTTTTGGGTATTTTGGCGCCAAATTTTGAATTTTAGGTTAGCTTCATTATTTTTACGCCAAAATTCTCACACTCAAAATAACCACTTAACCATACATCCACTTTTCATTCCAGTATGATATCAGTAGTGCTGTCAAGTATCCTAGGTAATTTCGATGTGAAAGCGCTACGTGCCTTTCGTGTTTTACGTCCATTACGTCTCGTTTCTGGCGTACCATCACTTCAGGTCGTTTTAAATTCAATTTTGCGCGCCATGGTGCCTTTACTCCACATTGCATTACTCGTCCTTTTCGTAATTATCATTTATGCAATCATTGGCTTAGAATTATTCTCCGGTAAACTTCATCGGACGTGCTTTCAAAATGGAACAAATGTGATGATGGACGATCCAAATCCGTGCGGTGAAGATGGATTTGATTGTGGCACGCTGGATCCGGTTGATGGACATTCAATGGTGTGCAGTTTGTATTGGGATGGACCAAATAAAGGAATCACAAATTTTGATAATTTTGGATTGGCAATGTTGACAGTCTTCCAGTGTGTTACGCTTGAAGGCTGGACTGATATGCTTTATCACATTCAGGATGCTATGGGAAATAGCTGGCAGTGGATTTACTTTATTTCTATGGTTATTCTTGGTGCATTCTTCGTCATGAACTTGATTCTTGGTGTTCTTTCCGGGTAGGTTTGAGTTATGTATAGGACGTGGTTCTGGGTGTGCATCTATATGGCTCATTTAAGAATGCATGTTATTGCTTAGCTAGAGGTCTACTTCTGAGCTCTATCAATTGGCATATCAAACCTAGTAAAACCAATTGTGAAGAACTTTAAGATGCATCCAGTGAACCACCCATTGACATTTCCAAGGCTATTCAATAACTTTCAAATAAATTCTTAATTCTAGTGAGTTTTCCAAAGAAAGAACGAAAGCAAAGAATCGAGGCGACTTCCAGAAGCTCCGTGAGAAGCAGCAAATTGAAGAAGATCTTCGAGGTTATCTTGACTGGATCACACAAGCTGAAGACATAGAACCAGAGAATGAGAGTAGCACAATGCAAGATGGAAAAGGCAAAATAACAAATGACATGGATTCGACGGATCAGCTGGGCGATGAGAATGAAATGGTGCAAGAGTCGTGGTTCTCAAGAAAGAAAAAGGATATGGACAGGATTAACAGAAGGATGAGAAGAGGATGTCGACGTGCTGTCAAGTCGCAAGCATTTTATTGGTTAATTATCGTCCTCGTATTTTTGAATACTTGTGTATTAGCTACAGAATACTATCAGCAACCAGAGTGGCTTGATCATTTTCAAGGTGAGAACTTTTGGTTCCTTTGACAATAGTTTGGTCCAAATTTCGGTTTCTTTTACTTCCAGAAATAACCAACCGGATATTCGTTGCCCTCTTCACACTCGAGATGTTGGTTAAAATGTACAGTTTAGGATTTCAAGGTTACTTCGTGTCACTATTCAATCGATTTGACTGTTTCGTTGTTATTGGCAGCATAGCTGAAATGGTTTTAACAAATACGGAAGTTATGCCCCCGCTCGGTGTTTCTGTGTTGCGTTGTGTTCGTCTGCTGAGAGTTTTTAAGGTTACAAAGTGAGTACATTATCTGTTTTGAGGTTATGTATCATTTAAATCACTGACCAATCTCCATTTTTAATCCACAGGTACTGGCGATCACTGTCAAATCTCGTCGCATCACTTTTAAATTCAATTCAGTCAATTTTCTCGCTGTTGTTACTTTTGTTCTTGTTCATTGTGATTTTTTCACTCCTCGGTATGCAAGTGTTTGGCGGGAAGTTCGGCAATGTTAAGAAAATAAGCACGGAAGACAAGCCACGGTCGAATTTTGATAGCTTTTGGCAGAGTCTGCTGACTGTGTTTCAGGTGAGATTGATTGGTGTTTCTAGCAAATTTGTAGACTGCTTTTGAATAGCACAAGTCGGTTAATGGAAAAGAAATCCGGCACTAAGCTGACGTAGCTCTGGGATTCCATTTGAGTTCAGCCTCATTCCAGAGTCATTTAACTTGGTGCCGGATTACAATTTGATTAACCGACTTGTTCTATTCGGGACTATTAAAGAGAGGTGAGGCGTTGCCACTCAAGGTCTACCTAAGATATAAATCTAGTCTTTATTCTGGTCCTAGTTCTAGGGTGTGAACTAGGACATGATTGAGGGCACGTACAATTGCATAGCTATGCACTCTCAATTTATAGCCCAAAGCAATATCATGATTAAAAGCTCTACTGCCTTGAATGAGCCTAGAATGCACCCTCCAGGTATTATTTAGGATGAACCGACCAAACAGCTCCAGAATTATGTATTGCTTAATATGCAGCTCCAAATTTAACTCTATTAAATATTCTAACCACAAAAAATCACTTTCTGTCCTACAGATCCTAACAGGCGAGGATTGGAATGCAGTAATGTACGATGGTATAGAAGCCTACGGAGGTGTAAAGTCATTTGGTATCCTAGCATGCATATACTTCATTATCCTCTTCATTTGCGGTAACTACATCCTCTTAAATGTTTTCTTGGCTATCGCTGTCGATAACTTGGCTGATGCTGATTCACTCACGAATGTTGAGAAGGAGGAGGAAGAGGAAGGTGTGGAAGAAGAAGGCGAGAAAAAGTCGCACAGTCCAACGCCAATTGATAATGATTTAGAGATGGATGAGGACATGGAAGGAGAACGTGATGGAGATATGTGAGTGAATTTTCATGTGGATTATGTTGGAATTAAAATTGTGGATTAATTTAGGTACGATCGAGATGAAGAGACGGAATCAGAAACGAAAATTCGAATGCCGCAGGATGGGTACGAAAATATGGAAAGTGCAGGTAAAATTTTACTTTTTAGAAAGTCTTCAATTTTCATGAAAAATCATCTGCATTTAAAAGTTATTATAGACAAATTTTTAGAGGTTAGGTAAAAAGATTTATAATTCAGAAATTTTAGTTTGTAGCCATCACTAAACTTAACTTTTGTGATGTACTTGAATTGTCCTTTTGAGTTTTTACTTTACTTTTTTTGGTTATTGAAGGTGTTTAGAATTTCTCTTAGAATAGACTTTTGTGGGATTTTTTTGAGTTTTATTTGATGGATTAAAGAAGAGGATTTGAGGTTAATTTTGTGTCAAAAATTCGAACAATTAAAATTTTATTTTCTTTTTATTTTAAAACTTTTTTTTTCAATTTATTTTTATTTATTAAACTGAAAATTTCAACTTTTTCAAAAAAATTTTCATTTTTAAATTATTTTTTTTTCAATTTTTAAAACATTTCAAAAAATATAATAAAAATCCTTAACCTCAAATGTTTTTTCTTCAGCCATTAAAAATACAAATTTGCATGAAAAACTCAAAATATTAGCCAAAATATCAAACAAGACTCCCCCCAAAGAATTTTCTTGATTTATATCCACTGCACTGAACATGAAAAATATTTAATTTTATTGAAATAATTCACATTTGCATCAACCTTAACATTAAAAAAATACACAAAAAAATAATAAATTTAAAATTATGGTAATCATAAAAAAAAATATTCGCACTTACCCAAAAAAAAGATGAGGATGAGGACGACGACGATGATAAAATGGAGCCAATAACCGCACGACCGCGACGAATGTCAGAAATAAGTGTGAAGAAAAGCAAGAAGCCGATACCAAAAGGAAGTGCTTTCTTCATTTTCTCGCACACAAACAGGTAAATTTTTATCAGCTTTCGTGCTGCCTTTTCTAGACACGACTTGACTCACACTCAAACACACACTCGAGAAATATGATAAAAGTTACTTTTTTTCTCCTTTTTTATTGTGTTTTGCCATTGCGTGAACGGAAGAATAAGAATCCTTAATTTTTTTTTCCACAAAATTTAATTTTCTATCAATTGATGTTCTTGGAATAAGAAATTTGTTAGACGCGCTTCAATCCTTGACCCAGGCAAGCTATTGAATGTTGGTAGTGAAAGATGAGAATTGGTTTTGGAGTTTAAGACACTAAGAATGGGGTACAGTGGGGATAGTGACCCCTGATAGTTGTTCTAGTTTAAATTATGCATAAAGACAGAGTTGACATCAGCTATTGTCATGTCCAGACTGTGATAAGCCTCCTAAAGTAGGTATGATGTCAGGTTGGATACAAATTTCAGCTTTAAAGCTATGCCTAAGACCAGAGCCCAGGTTCTCTTTCTTACTATGCCATTGCTTTTAATTAAGGTGCATTTTGGTAGAAGGGAATTTCTGGGACCTGAATTCAGGCTGCTATTGTAGGACATTCCTGTCCTGATCAAATTAAAACTTTATTCCAGAATATAAGTTGTGTCGATCATCAATTCGAGGGAAACACTTTGGTCTTTTAACCCCATTTCGTTAATGTTAAGTTAGCGATGTAATTACATGGAGCAACACTAGAGACTTGGTAACAGGACGACTGAGTTTTTAACTTCAATAACTACTGTTGCTACATCACTGAAGATGTCAGCACTGTTTAAGATCTAATTGAAACTTCAAAATTAACCATGGGTCATTTTTTTAACCAGTTTCATACTTTTGAAGCCACCACAGTGCCATCTTCAATTCTAAGAACAAAAATGTCTTCCGACTCATAAAATTCTCAATCTTAAAACACCTCAACACATTCTATGTTGCCTGGGTCAGTTAATATAATTTCTTTTATGTGAAAGCTGTGAATTTTTTTTTACTCTGTGTTGATTGCTCTTGAGTTTCGCTTACGTTTATGTTGAATTTTTGCTTTGTGTTAAACATTGCGGTGCTCAAAAAAAAATTCATTAATTTTATGTTTAATTTAATTTAATTATTTTTTAAGAATTATCAAAAATTTAATTAAAATCATGCTTAGCTTTTAATTGCTGCTTTGAATCATTATACTTAGTTATATGAAATTGAAATTATTATAAAACAATATTGAAACATTCTCAAAATTAAGAGAGTAAGTCATAATATCATATCTGGAGTTGCTGATGCAAAGGAAGTGGTTTTGACCTGAGTAGCTTTGTAGTGTCTTCAGAATTGTTTGAATCTTTGTTATATTGACAGCATTCAAGGGCGAAACAAGAAAAAAATTCTAAATGGTGTCATCGGACCCCTCCCCCCACCTCCTCCCCTTCTCCATTAGCTGTGCCCTTGATATCATTTTATGTAATAATTGATAAATTACCTTAAATTACACATTTAAACAAAAAATGATCATTAAAATCAAGTCAGTTACCTTCCCACTCATCCCTAGAAGCCTTAACTTAAACAGAAGACTTAAAAGTCAGATTTTCCAACACTTAGTTCCATTCACAAGATATTAATCTGCTTTAACACTAAAAAACACTTCATTAAATTCTCTAAACACACATAATTGCCTTACATCCCTTAAATTTCATCCAACCTTACACAAATCACACCAAACATCTACAAAACCTGAACCATTCCAACCCAAATAATTACCACACACCCCACCAGCCAGCATTTGATGTCGTAATCACATCATATTTTCAGACATCAACCATCCAGTCTATAATAAATTACATGCTACTCGGGTTAAAGCGGATATTAATGACTCTCATTAATTACATTAAATGAGTTCCACACTAGCAAAAAATAAATAAAATCTCCAAAAGAGTTTGATTGTAGAAATAAATTAGTTCATTTAGTCATTCCATTGCCCTCATTAAATAGTCAATTAGTGACGATCTCGATGCTCAATCATTAGTTCAACTAGTGCCTTAGTTCGTAGTTCCATCGCTTCATCTTCAACTCAATTTTAGTCAATTTTTTTATTCTCGTCCATATCCAAAAAAAAATGTTAAATTTAATTCCAGACGATGGAGATATTGACGGTTTAGTGAATGAGGATGATGAACAGGTCACAGCACGTCCACGACGAATGTCTGAAGTGAATGCCGTCAATAAAATCATTCCAATTCCGCCAGCATCGTCGTTTTTTGTCTTCTCACAGACGAACAGGTTTTTAAGTTTTTTCATCTTTCCACTTTTTTTTTTGAGTTTTTAAAACCACACGAAAAAGTTTTTACTTTTTTCACTTTTTTTTTAAATTAATCTCAATTACTTTTTTATTAGTTTTGAATTTATTCTTTCTTTTTGTTGAGATACCAAAAAAAGGAGATTTTTTTTGGTTTAGTTTTTTTTTATTCATTCTTTTAGAATAGGTGAACGAGTTTTTAAGTCTTCTTGTCCTTTATTTTGTGCTCTGCAGGGCTCTGTGTCATTGAATGTGATTAAGTTTTGGGGATTTTTGATGAATTTTATTTTAAAAATATTAAATGATTTTTTTATAAGTTTTGTTGGAGTTGTTCTCGGTTTATGAAGCAAAATTCCCGAGTAGTCTTGGTCTCGACCTCTAAAATCAGTCAAGACCAAGAAATCGAGAAAACATGGTGCCGCAGCACACAGTTTGAGAACCACTGAAGACATTTCAGTTCCTGCATAATCAAAATGACTAAACTTATTGGAAAATTTATCACAAAATTCCCAAAAAAATCACATTTTTAAAAATTCAGAGCACATTGAATGTCTTTTGTTGATTTTATCACTTTTTTAATTTATTTTAATTTTTGTCTGTTGCACTTAAAATGTTGTTTTAATGTGAGAAGTAAAATAGTTTTTTTCAGAGATCGAAGCCGATTTTTTCGGCTTAACTCAATTTTTGATTTTTTTGATAGAAAAAAGCCATTTGACACCCATTTTAAGTATTTAAATTGAACTTTACATGCTTTACTATGATTCTGTGTAATATTTTGTCAGCATGTAGCTATAGTAAGCTCAGAATTTCAATTTAGCCGATTTTAAGCCGATCGGCTTAAATTTCGGCTTAACATTCTTTAACTTGAAATTCTGAGCTCACTATAGCTACATGCTGACAAAATATTTCACAGAATCATAGTAAAGCATGTAAAGTTCAATTTAAATACTTAAAATGGGTGTTAAATGGCTTTTTTCTATCAAAAAAATCAAAAATTGAGTTAAGCCGAAAAAATCGGCTTCGATCTCTGGTTTTTTTGCTAGAATAGAAGTTGTTTCAGCTCCAAAGACTTACAAACTACAAGACAAATAATAACGCAAGTGGAAAACTAGTTGATTGGACTAGATCAGTGGTGACCAACCTGTTTTGTGCTACGACCAGCTTACTGGTTGGTACCCAGTAATAACGCCGACACGGAATAACTGCACCTATTAAAAAAAACACGGTACCGGAATAATATCGAAAATATTTTTTGCTCAGGTCGGTAATAACTTCACCTGTATAATGTAGGTGAAGTTATTCCGGCGTCGCGACGGAATAATTTCACCTACTTAATATAAGTGAAGTTATTACCGCTTCATACCGGAATAACTTCACCTACATAATATAGGTGAAGTTATTCCGTCGCGGCGGCGGAATGATGCCGAAAAATATTGTATGTCGACTTTATTCCGTCACTGTGCAGGAATAACTTCACCTATATTTATATATATTAATGTGATAAATTTCTGAATTATCACGCTTTCCAGAAACTATAGAAAAATCCATTTTTAATTAAATTTCACACAATATAAAAGATCAACAAAAAAAATTAACTGAACGAACTAAGTCAAATTTGTTGTCAATTGTGTTCAAACAATAAACTTAAACCATTGAACATCAAGAATGACACGAAATAATCTTAATGTGCTGCATACCATGTTTGTTTTTTTTTGCGAAAAAAGGGAGCATTAAAGTAGTTAAAATTTTGGTGATGTAAATTTTGGTGATTATCATTCAACGGAAACTTTAAAAATGAAGTGTTTCAAAAATGCAATTTAACTAAGCTAAAACTTTATGAAAATCAGAAAGACATATTCATTTACTTCTATATTTTTACAAACAACGTTTCAATATAAGAAATTGTTGTTAATTAAAGTAAGGAGACATAAATTTTCATCAGAAGGAATCTGTTGCATAGGATAGACAGAATAATTCTGCAGAATTCTGCTCAACAGTTGCGCAACAATTCAATGTTGCGTGACATGGATGTAACAAAACCAGAATAATTCTGAAGAACTTATTTTTATTCTGCAGAATTTTTCTGCTAAATTTTTTTCAGAATTTCACAAAACAAATCAGAAACATTTTTTCCCAAATTCTCCATAATTAAAATTTCTGATAAACAACTTTATGAGAATGTGATTAAAAACACAATTACAAATTAATATGGAAATTAAAATAGGAGTACAACATTTTTCAGAGTTCTGAACACAATTCAATTCAATTTCAATTTATTCATGTTAAATTGTGCAACAGTGTGCAACCTTTAAGCGCTACACTTTTATTTTTAACATTAATTGTTGTATAATAAGAAAATCATAGTAAACATGATATGAAATCCAGTTAATAAACATATCTCAAAGATATAACATTAATAATTCTTAAATCTTTATTATGTACGCTAGCTCAGTGTTTAGCGCATAATCTTCACTAAGCAGTTGTGTGTCTAGTACCCAATTAAAAACTGTTATAGATCTTTACAGCTCTCGTATCTTCCTCATTCTGTCTACATAATTCTTGACTCATTTCCACATCTCACATTGCCTAATTCTTAGTTTTACGTCTTAAACTGCTGCACCTAAGAAGCCGAAGTATCTAAACTTCTGAAAATCACTAGGCTGGTGATGGGATTTGAATCCGAGAGTGCAAATTCGACTCGAAATTTTGTGACCT